GAACGCAAGTTGTGGTTTAACTCCAATGCCAGGGCTTTCATTATTAGCTTTACAACTAGTAAGAGGAATCCACATCGAAGTATGACCATTAATAGATTGAATACTCCTCTCGTTGTCTACGGCCATACCACCCTGAACGCGCCCGATCTCGTCTGAATACTCCTCTCCTAGAATATTTGAAGATTGATTTTTCAGGAAGACTTCTTTGTATGTCTTGTGTATATTCAGGACCAGAAGCTTGCTGAACTAGTGCAAATATTCTAATTAATGCAGAGTTTTAAGGAATAAACAAATAAACAAACATTGAAACAAGCTCCACATTTTATTTCCCGTACTGAACTAAATGTAGTGGTCTTTCTGTCTAATTTTGCATAAATGTGCTTCTTGATTGTAGGCCAGTAATTCCATTTTTAAAATTTCAAATGCAGCGGTACTCAAAGTTTTGTTGTTTCTTCAATGCTCCAAGCTGACTAGTTTAGAAAATATAGCACAGCTGAAATTAGCAGTGACTTTCTTATTTTGCCTCCCAAAATGGTAAGTCTCTGTCAATTCAAGGAAACCTTATTGTTTAGTTTAGAAATGATTGCATTTGGAAGTTTTGAAAGATTAATTTTTATTCAATTTTGAAATAGTCTGCTGACAAGTGAGGCTCTTTAGTGGCAATAATTTCACGGGGAAATAATTTACACTGGACAAGATTAATTCCTTTGCTATTCCTGTTGCTGGCAACCTCTCTATAAGAAATCTTATACTTCTGGGCAATTCCATGTGATTCATTTCCTTGTTAAAAGGTTAAAAATATCACTGCATAAAGTGTAAGGGAAAAAGAGCCACTTAACCAAAAATATTAGTTAAGAAATTTATATTAATCAAAAACTTTTAAAATCAATGGGAGTTTTACACACACACACACACACACACACACACAGGTATGTTTATGCTTTTTTATTTTTAATTAAATTTTGGGTAGAGTCAGTATTCTAAGATTTAACTTTAAATATCTTATTTATTACACTAATATTTCATAATTTAATTGCAGCTATAAGAGAATGTGAATACACATGGAGATGACAATTTCAATTATTTACTCACATATGTTAATATACATTTCTGCCTCTCATACATAAGTATGTGTGTATTTACCTTTGTGTTTATATATTAATAACATATCAGTTTGAGTTTAGCTTCACAAAGAACATATACAAAATGTTTTAAGAACAGAAAACAGTTTAAATTAGAAATTCCTTTCCCTGCTTCACAGAGTCATCAAATGCTTGCTATTTATTAGGAGAGCAGAAGAATGATTTTTATTCATTCTTGCTCTGATGAAAGATAGTTTCTTGCATATATGGTTATATTTGGTGATATCTAATACATCTATATATATAAAAGCCAAGTGACCAGAATGACCAGAATAATTGGAATGACCGGCTGTTATGTCATGCACTGTGGCCGGCCAACCTCCCACGGCCCCTCCCCCTGGCCAGCTGGCCCCCATCGGCCCTGATCGGGGCAGGCCAGGGGACCCCACCTGTGCACAAACTCATGCACTGGGCCTGTAGTTTACTAATAATAAGATTAAATGTGGAGAAACTGAGTTATAAATTATGTGAAAAGTACATTTACTTGTTTCTACAGCTCTGGAGAGCATGGAAGGATATTATTATAGAGACAATGTTTCAGTGGAAGAATTTCAAGCCCAAATAAATGCAGCCTCCTTGGAAAAGGTCAAACAATACAATCAGAAGCTCAGGTACGTAATTATTCAATGGTGGTGAAGGACTGGGTGGCATGGGAACTAGGTGGAGGAGGGAAATGGGGGAAAGAGGGGACATTTGTAATACTCTCAACAGTAAAGATAAAAAAAGTTTCTGTTTCTGTATTTTGACAGGGACAGATAGTGTTTTTGCCCTCTTAAATTATTCATTATATTAGATGATTCATGATATTTCTTTTGATATAAAGTTCTCTATTTAGGGTTTACTATTTCAAATATTCTAATGGGTACTAATTTTCTAAATAAAATAAAAAACCTGTTTGTAAATTTTCATGCTATGCTTTTAATTTCTGTTGAAGATCTAGGGATTAAATATTTAGTAGACCATTTTCCGGGGGAAAAGCATTGATGTTTATAGTGATGTCCCTAGGACAGTGATGGAGAACCTATGACACGAGTGTCAGAGGTGACACATGAACTCATTTTTTTGGTTGATTTTTCTTTGTTAAATGGCATTCAAATATATTAAATGTATAAAATAAATATCAAAAATATAAATCTTTGTTTTACTATGGTTGCAAATATCAAAAAATTTCTATATGTGACATGGCACCAGAGTTAAGTTAGGGTTTTCCAAAATGCTGACACGTCGAACTCAAAAGGTTTGCCATCACTGCCCTAGGAGGTTCAGTGGGTTGAGGGTAAAATAGTTTTGTTATGTACCATTAAGCAGCTGGCACCCTCACAAAGAAAGAAGCATATGTTTAACATGGAAGATATGAAGAAACATGTACTTGGTATCGGAAAAATATCTACTTTCAAACACATCTGATGTTAATGTTTGCATTTTAATATGTTGTTTTTCTTTCTAAAAGTGTTACTGGTACAGTGATCAGTGGCAGAGAAAATTAACCACAATGTGTTATAATTTAGCAGCTTTAACTTCCCTCTTATAAGTGACTTAGAGGCCCAATGCATGGAAATTCGTGCAAGAGTAGGCCTTCCTTCTCCCAGCTGCTGGCACTGGCTTCCCGCTGGCAGGCAGGCACCCAGGACCCAGACTTCGCTCTGGCCCCAGCTTCGTCCGGAAGGGTGTCTGGTCTAATTAGGATATTACCCTTTTATTATTATAGATTCTGCTAACAAATTGCCTTTTAAAAATTGCTGATTACAGCTTTTATTTTTAAGAAAATATATTTTTATTCCACCTTAAGCCCTAATAACTCAAAAACACTATTGAGACAATATTTTGGTTTTGTTCACGATATGGCTAAATGGTGAAGACAATTCCTAAAATTCCTGACAAGGAAGGGGTATTGGTTCCTGTGGTTATGACTGATGTAGGCTTTCTTTCACTAAGAATGCTTTGTCTCCTTACCCCAGCTTTACAAAAAACTATCCCTTTTTCTAGGTTTTTATTTTTACTTTTTTCCAGCATTTATCATCTTCTGAAGCTCTGGCCTCAAAGCCCTCAATATCGTTTTCATTTCTCATTTTCTCCTCTTCCTAAAATGTAGTTGAAGATCCTGATGATTCTGAGGCTGCCCCAATTTTACTGCCTTGTCTAGACTTTGTTACTCAAAGTTTATATATATGGAAAAAATAAAATCAATATTGAAATTTTAAAGTTTGTCTACTGATTAAAAAATACTGACTTTAGAAGCCTTAAGTTCAATCTTATGAAAATCTCAACATTGAATACTGTCTTCACAAAAGAGAAGTTTTGCCTGCATAACTGATAAAATATATTCTTAGGTTATCTTTCAAATAAAGACATGAAATGAAAGCATTTGTGTAGAACAGGTGGGCCTTGAGAGTACGTCCCTGGAGTCCAGTTTGAGAAAATAGTCCTAGACTATTGCTGTGGCTCCTACCTGGTCTTTCTCTAAGAACCAGTGTTGTGTTATTTACTCAGGAATTTGCTGCCAGATAAGAAATTTAAACCTCATCTTACCGTGTCCTTCTCCTGCCCAGAGCATTGGGTGATTTCTTATTGCCCCCTCAGGAGTCATAAGCTCCTTGGTATGGCGGTCCAGGTCTTTGATGACTTGGCCCAAGGTTTCATTGTTCTGCCTGTGCACCAGCCATGCTGCACTTGCCCCATGTCCAGTCATGCCCTGTCCTTCCCTTCTTCTGTGACTTCTCACTTAGCATCTGCCAGCCCTGTGTCTGTTTATAAAACTACTCTTTATATGCTTCTATGTCCAGCTCCAGTAGAGTCTCCTCCATTTTTATTACTGGGCGGGGGTGAGGCCTGGGCATTAGAACTTTTTAGAAGTCCCCTAGGAGGTTCTAATGTGCAGCTAGAATTGAAAACCGGTTCCCATTGTTCCAGGAGTTCTCAAAGGATGATCCCCAGACCAGCAGCCTCAGTATCACCTGCAAACTTGGTAAAAACCTCGTGGTGGCTCTGCCATCTGTGTTGTAACAGGGCTTCCTCATGATAATCACCCACACTCAAATTTCAGAACCACAGCCCTGAGCTAAATGGAAGTCACCTCACCCTTGCACTCTTTCATTTTGCTTCATTTGTGGCTCCTACAGAGTTCAGTGTTTCTCCCTGATGATAAGTTACAGATGTACAGATTTCTCATCTTCTTGAATCTTGTTTTTATAGTTTATGTAATATATATGTAATGTTACAGTTTACATTCAATATTTACAAGCACAATTTACATTCAGTATTATTTTGTATTAGTTTCAGGTGTGCAGCATAGTGGTTAGACAATCATATACTTTACCAAGTGCCTCCCCTGATATTTCCAGTTCTCCCATAGCACCACCCATAGTTATTACAATATTATTGACTATATTCCCTATGCTGTACTCTACATCCCCATGACTGCCTTGTAGCTACTAATCTGTACTTCTCAATCCCTTCACCTTTTCACCCAGTCCCCCAACCCTCCTCCTCTCTGGCAACCATCAGTCTGTTCTCTGTAACTATGAGTCTGGTTCTGTTTTGTTTGTTTGTTTGTATTGTTCTGTAGATTTCACATGTAAGTAAAATTTATTCTTGTATAGCCTCTTTGAAATGAAGGGTAAGTTGATTGGTATTGTCATTGTGCTTATCAGAGTACTTTATGTAAGAAGTTCTCCATACTGTAGAGTTGTTGGAAAGTTTTTACTTAATTAGTTTCTATTGCAAATAATATTGAAAATGGTTAAAGTTCTCATGAGACAATAATACAGCCAGCAGAGACCAACTGGCTGGTCTGACCATGCCAGTTGCCATGGGAATACGGGCCAGGCATTCAGAGCACCTGAGGTGTCCTTGCCACCTGCATCAGAGCCCTGACGCTGGTGGCCAGAAGGCAACCTGGGTTAGTTGTTATCCTCAATAGATAGTGTTAAGCCAGCAGACATGTTTGACACCTATGTCTAAATTATACCCTCCCGTGCCAAGTCAGAGTTCTTGATTGATTGTCCTCTGATTATTAAGAAATAACAGCTTCTGAAAAGGTTACTGAAGGCTTCCCATGATTCCTCTGTATATGTAAATAAGCCAAAGGGGATACTCCTTAACATTTACAGATTGTTGTTAAAATACTAAATCTGACAATAATTAGTCACCGTAAATGAAAAATCACTTGAAATATATAGCTTTGCAACAGTTTTTGTTAAAATCTCAAAAGGCAATCATGTTCCTTACATTTGTTGCTTGTGTGAGAAAGAAAGCTGTCTGGAAGGAAATAAAAAGAGGTTTCCTTCAGATGTCTAACTAAAATTAAAAATCAATATATTGGGCCTCATAAGCTAAAGTAAATAATTTGTGTTTTGCCTCCTTAAACAAAGTTAAAAAGAAAAAAAGGAAATAACAGCGTGTAAAGTATCTAACATAATTTCTAACCAAGAAACTCAGGAGCAAGGGCATTTTTATTCTCTACCTTCACCCTCCTCTGACTATTTTATTCTCTTTTTTCTACCCCAGGCTTTCCTTTTGTTCATTCCCTCTGGACACGAGCCATCATTTCCATTAGCCCTTGTTCTTTCCTGCCTTACATAAATGTACTTTACCATTACCAAACTCTTTCATTTTAATGCATCCTGGTTATGGCCAAAAGCACCACTGCATGGTGACCGGTGAGATAAAATGTAATGTCAGTGTGAACATTATGCCCTGTATGAAAGTACTCCTTTCAATTAGAGGGTTCTAGATCATTTTTAAGTATCATTTTTATTATAAAGTCAACAGTAAAATAAAGCAGAAAAATCAAAAGGAAACAAGTTGTACATTAGTTACTGAAGCCATTTATCATTTTTGTGATGTGTCAGCTTCAGACTGAAACTTTTTAGGGTTTATGTTTCAGGGTATCTAAATGTAAATTCATCATCCTTTCAGAAGGAGGACAAGAAAATTACTCAAAGCATATATTCTCTCAAGCTGTACCTTCGTGGATATGGATTGGCACATTGTCTTTAAAAGAAAGTTTTTAAAGGGCCAAACTATATTTGATATAAGTAGGAAAATGATAGAGATTTTATTTGTGTTCACAAGGAATGCTACCCAAATACTAATCTCAGAGTCATATATTTTGAACGATTTTTTCAACTGAAAAAAATGTCTGGTTGGAAGCTTTGGCTATTCCCATGATAGCACCTCCATGAAATGTGCCATTTCTCTGTATTCTGAAGCGGGGCAGGGATGTCATGAATGCATTCTCCTGGTGTGAGATAGATGTGAAGGATGGTGTGGGCTGCCATTTCTTGTTTTTAAGTACAACTAGGAGTAATATGAGGACATGAAGGACCTCAGCCTTCACACCTCTTCTCCAGTCCTAGCCCCTGTCTCCATCCCCACGTCCTTCTTCCCTCAGAGCCTTCAACTCATAAAACACTGTTTCTCTTTCCTTGTTTAGATAACAAATGGTGTTTCCAAGCTTGAAATGGAAAATTTTGGTTGTTCTATTGATGAGCAGCTGTGGAAACTACCTTAACTCAACAAGAGTATGGATTTAATAAATCTGGGAGAGAAAGAATGAGAGAGAGAGGGAGAGAGAGAGAGAAAGAGAGAGAGAGAGAGAGAGAGAGAGAGA